ATTTAAAAATAGAGTACTAAAACCAAAATTAGAAATAGAAACAAGTTAAAGGGAAAAATCTAACGCAGAGAAAATATTTGCTGCATGTAACAAGATAAGGGCCAATGTTTATACATCTAAAAGGCACAAACTGGTCAAGAAGATAAATATTATAATAAAGATAATGTCAGATAACTAGTTTAAAAAATGTAAGCATCTAAACAATATTCCACATGCTGAATTTGTAACCAAATATCAATGCATACAACACTAAGATGTCCCTAATATCAAGCCAGAATGATGCTGTTCTTGTCTCCTTTAGGAAAAATTCTAAGCCTGTGCTAGGAAGGAAGAGAAAGGCTACTCTTACAGGTTACTGATAGATAGGACCATAAATTGTTTACTTTCCAAAGCATAAATCATGTAGGGCATTAATACTTTGAAAAGAATGTACACTTTGAGTCAACCATTTTAAGGAAATAGTCAAATTATCTAAGATCTGTCCTCATTCTCGAGTTGTTTAGTCTCAGACAAATAGGATGCAATGGAATGTCCCACATTACGTGCTAAGGGAAGAGCGTGTGGTTACACCCACATGGAGAATGCTATCAACTATAAGAAATGAGGTCACTGCAATTCACACACTGACAGGGAAAGGTGTTACGATCGACTGTCAAGTCAAAACAGTAAAATAGAAGGATGTTTTCAAAACAGACATCCATTTACAACACAGGAAAACAGGACAAACCCAGACGATGTATATAAACAAGATTACTTAGAGAAGATAGAAATATGGCGACTTAGTTTCTTTTTCTGTCATAGATTTTTATAGCCTGGGAAATAATTTTAAGAATATCACAAAAGGGGAGTTAGGGGACTTGATTTAGGACTAGAGAGATGTGATTGGATGGTTTGTACTGCTTGTCCCTCCATAAGCTTTCTTAGAGTCTGGTAGATGATACAGCCCACAGGTCAGTGTTTACCGGCTTTCTTTATATGAAAGGCAGCTTATTGGTCTGAGCGGCTCTCCACCATTAAACACATACTTGTTGGGCCTGTTCCAAGTCTGACATTGTCTCCGCACCCTTGGCTGTGTCTAGGTACTGACATGGGTGGAGTCAGCTGGGGTAAAATTCCTTACAGAAAAGACTCCAGTCTCCTGACGAGTTAGAGAAGAGTTTATCAGCTGGTGAAGGAAGGGTAAATTAGAATTCTTATTGCTGCTTACACAGATGGTTTTGGAGGGTGAGTGCCTGAGTATATGTGCTCCTTTGTATGTACACATGTGTGTATTTGGTCTTTTATATATGGACATGTGTATATGTTCCTTTGCATGTGCGTGTGTTTGTGTGTCTCCATGTATATAGGTTCCTTTGTGTGTGTGTATGTGTGTGTACATGCATGTGTATGTATAGCACCAAAAGTAAAGGTCGAATGCATTCCTTAACTACTTTCCCCCTTGCTTTTCTTATGCAGGGTCTCTTTTTGAACTCCAGTGCTTATGGTTGTGAAGCAAGAGTTTACTGACTGAGCAGATTTTTACCTAACCCTTCCTTCCTCTAGTCTCAGGATCCCTACTGACTCCAATCCCCAAATCATTCCAGAGCTCTGCAGTCCTTATCGATCTATTGCTTGTAGCTGCCTCCTCAGCAGCCTCTCGCCTCTGAAGAACTCATTCCCACTCATCCTTCCCTTTCAAGATCCCCACTTGGTCAACATTTCCTGTTAGTGACGTCATCCTTCCCATCCTCCTCTCCTTATAGATTTACATCTTTCTACCCTCACTTTCAGAACATTTCAGAAGGAAGGGACATAAATATTTACACTGAATGCAATACATTTAACAGGAAGTCCTGTGCCTATTTATACATCTTTCTCTATTCAACAGTATCATTGGGCACAGATGTCTCACCGAAGGGTTTTGAGCATTTGGAGAAGTTAACTTGGTGAGGAAGATGAGCATGATGTCGCTTGTGTTGATCTGACCTAGCCAGGAGCTGGGACACGTGGTGGCTGCTCCCTCTCCCCTGATTAGCCTCACAGTGCAGGAAGATGCGAAGAGAGCAAGCAGCAGGCACAATATGCCAATTTCTCGATAATAGAGTGTTCTGCTTGCATAGGAAGGAAACTGCAGCTGTTCTGTACAGATGGTGAATAGCTGACTGCATCTAGCAGGATTCAATGAACTGTGTCAAGCGAGGAGGCACGTGGAAAAAGGAGATGTGTAAACTAGTTCCTGCTTCCACTCAGAAAAAAAAAAATCCCTGGATAATTAACATTCATTTAGATATTTTTAAAAAGGAAAATGTCTTCTAAGCCACTCCCCAAAAGTCAATTCCCTAAATACTGTATCCCCAAATGTACTCAGATTTGCCTCAGATGAATTAGATTTTTCAGGATTGATTTTGTACCACTTGTTTCAATGTTTTTTGCACCACATAGGCAATAAGGTCAGAGGTCCGCATGTATTTGTGTGTGTATGTGTGTGTGTGTGTGTGTGTTGATATGTGTGTCCATGTTATCTACTACTTTGTGTGTATTCATTTTGCCTCCAGATCTTCAAAATTAGAAGTTTAACATTGGAGACAATGATGCTGTTTTAAAATTGTTCTGTTTTTCAAGCTACCTTCCTATCTCCCTTCTAAATGTACAGTAAAGTGTTCATAAATACTTACTGGCTTCTTAGTAAACTAACTTATCAAAAAGCAATTCCTAACCCCAACCCCACCAAGAACAGCTCTGAGTCTATGTGACAAAATCTGAAGAACCTTGGCTAAGAACCCACTGACTGTGGTAGACTAAGAAGGTACAGATGATTCCACTTACCCAAGGAACTCCTAGCAGGCAAACTCACAGGGACAAAAGTAAAATGTTGGTGTCCAGAGTTGGGGAGGAGAGAAAGGGAATAGAGAGCTTATATATAAGAGATTCCAAGTTTCAGTTTGGGAAAACAGAAAGTTCTGGAAACAGACCATGGTAACTGTTTAATGCTACAAAACTGATCACATGAAAATAAACCATGGGGAAGAGGGAATGGCTCAATCAGTAAAACCCCTTTCCTTGGAAAAGGAACCTGAGTTTTATCCTCAGACTGTTTTTAAAAATTCCAGGCATGGTGATGCAAGCTTGTATGCCTACTGCTTGGGGGAACAGACACAGGAGGCTTACTGGGGCTCACTGGCCAGCCAGCCTAGTCTAGTTAGTGAGTTTGCTATTACAGGTGGAAGAGTATGTCTCAAAGGATGTGAACAGCATTTCTGAGGATGACACCTGAGGTTGTCCTCATGTCTCTACACACAGACACACATACACACACACACACACACACATTCACACACACACTCACACACTCACACACACACACACACACACACACTCACACACATGAACACACAGAGATACATGCACACACCTATCTGGGCATAAACAGGAAACAAATAGATGTCTTAGGAGGCTTCCTAATGCCAGGAATATCTGGACCCTTAAGATTGTTGCCGTGTTTCCTAGGAAGAATGGGTCACATATGCCTGGGGTATGGAGTCTGATGTGCTCTGGGATCTGGTGAAGGAGAACCAGACATATACAAAGGAAACAAAATAAAGTTTTGTGTACATTTCTTAAAGACTGCTGGTGTCATACCATCATTTAAACACTGTTGGAGACAAATTAAATGACTTTCTTTCACTCTGAGAAGCTGTTCCATGAGTGGATTCTTCAGGACGTTCCCTCTGTGTTCCTGTTGGCTTGGCAGCTGAGAAGAGACTGTAGGGTATTGGATGGAAGGCAGCTGAACTTCATCTATATTGTCCTGATGATGGGAAACTCTTGTTTCTGTGACTTTCCAAGTCTCCAGTATCATCATCATTTTCTATCAAATTTTATCCATGAGAAATCTGGGAGCAGTGTGATCTGCTTCTCAAGCTGAGGACGTGCATTTTGTCATGACCTATAATGTTCATAGCTTGAAAGGATCAATACAGGAGCCTGCGTGGTGTCCTGAGGGTCAGAATTTCCCATTTGGTTTTGGGACTCCTACAGAATAGTGAGGTCATAGCAAGCTGCCCACTGGACAGTGTGCTGCATAGGTTGTGTTCCCAGTACAACTAAAGCAAAGACCTTTTTCTGGACCAGCAAATGAGCAGGGACCTAACCTCATCAGGAGCTGGGAGGATTAAAGTACAAGCAACCTTCAGTCTGGGTTCTTGTTTGGTGCCAGGATGATTAACAGGTTAGCCATGATGATCTTCAATTTCTGGTCAAAACAACATCAAACAAAGTGAGTTACAGAGGCAGAATGCACACAAACCACATGACCCCAGTGGGAACTACACTGAGGGGAAGCACAGTTCTCCTGGGTAAGCAGACACCATCTCCACACTGCCCCACACCTCCACCCATAGAAGATGTTGAAGTCATTAATTGAGCTTCTATTCTTCCTCCTGCTATCCAGTGATGCAGAGAAAGAGCCTGGGAGAGACCACGTGATAGGAAAGAAAGTACTAGAACTTCTCATTTTCAGGATGACTTGAGTCTGCCATTCTCTCCCTGGGGTCTCCTTTCTGACCACTCCTATTCAAGATTTAGTGAACTGAAAGCCACTTCTGGGTTTCACATTGTCAAACCTCCAACTGAACTTCCTCCAGGCGACTGCACTCCTTACTTAGCTGAATGCTTACAGCACCAGCTCCTTGTGTTATATCTCTGAGCTGCTTTCTCTGCCTCAGGACACCTCTCAGAGCTTTCCTCCCTTCTTTTAACTTTATGAGAACCTGGGTTTAGGCTTCTCCTTCCATGGAAATGAAGGAGGTTCAAAGCAAGGGTAAACGTGGGGAGACAGCAGAGGAGGTGGAAGCTTGGGGACTAAGAATGAGCTATTTTATAACTGAAGCCGAAGACTCTGCCCTTCCTAACCCTTTGTTTGAAGTCATTTTTGGAGCTAGAGAAAGGGGAAAAAATAGGAAGAATATCTAATTTTGTGAATCTCATTTTCAAATTCAAATCTCCAATGTTCCCTGAGGCAGTCGACTGCACAGACAACTGAGCGATGGAAACTTAATAAAAGGCCCAGAAAGATCATAGATCATACTGGCCCGTCAGCTGTCACAGGTAAGGGAACAATAATGACATTATTCTAATATTTGGGACATTTGGGGTCGTGTTTCCTTCTCGGCGGTGACAGCTACCTCAGCTTCAAGATCTCCAATGTCTCCCCAGAACTCAGCTCCAGTCTCAGGCCATTACTACCATACTTGTTCTTTCTCCCAGATGCTTAAAAATGTGCATAATCACAGTGTGTACGTACAGGGGTGGCTTTGTGTCATGGCCTTAGTTGCTTCTGCTCTCAGGCTTCCCCCTTCTCATTTATCCTGATACCCTTTAGTCTTTCCGTAACACAAGTAGTACTACAGGCAGGCCAAGCCTTAAGATAGCCTCTGGTTTTCCTACTGCTGCAAAACCAAAGGCCTTTTAGGTAGAAACCCAAGACTTCAAAATATAAATCCAAGGATTCACTTTACAGCCTGTCTTAGTTGAGGCTTCTATTGTTGTGATGAAACACCATGACCAAAAATCAATCTGGGGAGGAAAGGGTTAATTTGGATTACACTTCCACATTGCTGTTCATAACCAAAGGAAGTCAGGACAGAAACTCACACAGGGCAGGGATCTGCAGGCAGGAGGTGATGCAGAGCCACGGAGAGTATCATGATGGCTTGCTCATCATTGTTTGCTCAGTCTACTCTTTTATAGAACCCAGGACCTCCAGCCTAGGGATGGCACCACCCAGCATAGAGTGGGCCCTGGCCCTCCCTCACTGATCACTAATTGAGAAAATGCCTTTCACCTGGATCTCATGGACACATTTCCTCAACTAAGGCTCCTTCCTCTCTGATAACACTAGCTGTGTCAAGTTGACACACAAAAGCAGCCCATACACAGCTTTACTTCCCAGAATTGTGGTCCTACCTCAATCAGTAACACAGTTTGTACCACTAGTAGGTTCTCTATAACTCCAGTTCCAGAACACAGAGACTCATTACCTGCATGTGCTTTCCTGGAATACATTCTATGTTTTTGCTTGGACCAAAATTCTCCACAATGTTGGGAAGCCTTTCCTAAATTTCTTCTGGGAGAATTTGTACTCTGGTAATACAGCCTCGTGTTAGAACCGACTACACATCCAGGATCAATTCCTATCCTCCTGATATACTTAAGGCGTCCGTGGTGGTTTGAATGAAAATAGCCCTCAGAGGTAATGGCACTATTAGGAGATATGGCCTTGTTGGAGGAAGTGTGTTGGGCTTTGAGGTCCCAGATGCTTAAGCCAGGCCTTGTGTCTCTCACTTCTTGTTGCCTGTCAAACTAGATGCATAATTCTTGGTGCCTTCTCTAGCACCATATCTGCCTGTGTGCCACCATCCTTCCTGCCATGATGATAATGGACTAAACCTCTGAATTATAAGCAAACCCTAATTAAATGCTTTGCTTTATAAATGTTGCCATGGTCATGATGCCCCTTTACAGCTATAGAACACTGACTAAGACAGCATCCCATGCTGGAAACTCTTGCTTAGGCATGTCTGTCTTAGTCAGGGTTTCTATCCTTTACAAATGTCATGACCAAGAAGCAAGTTGGGGGAGGAAAGGGTTTATTCAGCTTACACTTTCACACTGCTGTTCATCACCAAAGGAAGACAGGACTGGAGCTCAAGCAGGTCAGGAAGCAGGAGCTGATGCAGAGGCCATGGAGGGATGTTACTTACTGGTTTGCTTCTCCTGGCTTACTCAGCTTGCTTTCTTATAGGACCCAGGACTACCATCCAGGGATGGCACCATCCACAATGGGCCCTCTAACCCTTGATCACTAATTGAGAAAAATGCCTTACAGCTGGATCTCATGGAGCCATTTCCTCAAGGGAAGTTTCTTTCTGTGGTAACTCCAGCTTGTGTCAAATTGACACACAGAACCAGCCAGTACAATATCCTAACCCTTTTCAGTGCCAGACATCTTGTGCTCAGCTCATGCTAACTGGAGGAAAAAGAACCAAAAGCAATCCCTCATGGAATGTGGGTTTGCTGGCCACCATCTTCCCTGGGCAAAGGCTACCTTGAGCTCATCGCTGCTCCCAGAGGTAGCACATATACCCTCTGGCTTCCTGCTTCTAGTACAGCCCTCTTGGGAGAGACGCGGACTTTTGTCCTGGTTGATTTCCTATTGGAAGTTCAACTCTTCATTGGCTCAAAGAAGAAAAGTTGACTCATAAATGAAAGGCAGTACTGTCAGCTGAACCTCTGTTCTTCTGTTCTCCAGCTGAGTGCAGTGACCTCCCAGAATAGGCTGGACACCCCTTCATCTTGTCCCACAACTTATCAACCAAGATATGTTGGGATCAGCAAGTGTCTCCCAGCCTCAATTTCACATCCTGAGAGAGACAGAGAACAAAGGCTCAGCCCTCTTCTGCTTTGCTGGGAGCAGTAATCAGTACAATTCTCTGGAAAGCAATTTAGGAAAATGTACCTAAAAGCTTCATACCATTTCCTCCTTCAATCCAGCATTTTACTTCAGTGATGAAGGGGAAAATACATAATATGTATATGTGTATTGTATGTATATATGTGTGTACCCACACATAAGATGTTGATCTCAGAATTGTTTATAGTAGAAAAATATTGAGTCAATTCCATTATGAAACAAACTATCATTAAAAATTAAGTCCTAGAAAAACATCTGATTGCCTGGTCCTGCCTGGTTATTGGGGTGCCAGGAGTGCCACTATCATGCCACTAAAAGGAAGCAAAAAGCAGTTGATAATGGGGGTACTCAGTCCCGAAGTCTACCTCTAAATCTGTCCCCCCAAATGATTCTCTAGAAGCAAAAAAAAGCAGAGAACATGACAGAAACAGAATAAATATAGCCTCAGCCCTGGAATCTCCACCCACCCTCCTAGTTATAGACCCTTGATGGCTCTTTTCTAAGTCTTTGGTGTCTGGTCCTACTAGGTCCTTTCCTAAAAGAGCTACATGAGAAAAGAAGGGTAGATGTGGTGGTGGTGGTGGGGAGCACAGGATTCTGAAGACCCTAATCTTACCATTGACCATGATTCCCTCTAGGAAAAATGACTAAAGTTAATGACCACTGGTCACCCAGCCAAGAAGGCATGCACAGCAGTATACAGGTTCCCTGCCACAGCCTGTTCTGTAGAAGGAAGAGTTGGGCTTGTTGGTGAGAACCAGTAAACCTAGAATTCAGGACAGACAAGAGAGCAGATAGTTCAAGGGTATCCAGGCTTTATTGTGAGAATTCGAGAAAAGACAAGAACAGGTGTTATGTTGGAATTCTTGAAGGAAATGGATGCCACATAACAAACTGTGGCCTCTTTACTTTGTACTTTTCAAACAGATAGTTGGTAAATTGTACAGCCTTATGATCTAGGGTTAGGGAGTGGCACCTCTGCTTTGCCACTAGTCCAGCATTAGAGAGTGATTTTGGCTCTTTGTGTACACACAGGGTAACTGTGTTTTCTATAATGGCCATATTAGGGACCTCTCACTGAGAAAGCCTGCTTACTGTGCACTTCTCAGCATGCTTCTTTGTCTACATCTACTTCCTTCTTCGTGTCAAACACATTGTTGTGGATTTTCTTTATTAGTAACATACTATCTACCACTATAATGACCTATACAAGCAACATATTTATATCTTAAGACAAAGTCAAAGATTGCTTACACAGTAGTAACTCTTGTGCTCCTAATGTACCTTCCTGCCCACCGTGTCCTGCAGGTGAGTAATGGTTATAATAAAGCCATGATGACATCAAACCCTCCCATCATGGATGACTTCAGGAGTCAGTAGGAGCAGTCCATTCAGACCATCTTAAAAAGCCCTTTACTGTCATCAGCTTCAGGGCCGAGGCAGAGGCAAAAGGACCACAAAATATTTGCAAAGAAAATTCTGGACATTTATGAGGGAAATGATGTTCAGAGCAAACATAGGTGGTCAAATCCTGATGTTGTATATATATATATACATCCTGAAAACTGTACTCATAAGATAAGGCTTCCAAGTGTGGTTCTTTCCATTCTAGAAGTGACCACCAACATCTATGACCTAAGTTATCAAGTGCATCAATGCTTGTAGGCCAAGGGTTCTCTCTAACATAACTCATTCCTGAGAACCATTTCTTTCTTTCTTTCTTTCTTTCTTTCTTTCTTTCTTTCTTTCTTTCTTTCTTTCTTTCCTTCTTTCTTTCTTCTTTCTT